TTCTGCATATTATAGAAATTACCCATGCTGAGGCAACAATTTCCTCAACAAGTATCTGAGATATTGTAGCCTACTGAAGGTCCTTGTTCTCTGTTAGCAGCCCGACAGTTTCTTACAGGTGTAGGGTTAAATCATCATCTGCTTTCCAAAGATGTATCACAAGTGAGTATATTCTAATGTGCACATACACATATAGAGAGTACACACAGAGATGATTATTAAAAAAAAAAAAGCCTCCTGTTCAAATGCTGGACTGAACATTATGGTTTTCTCTTTCAAAAAGTAACTAATTTCTCTACATAATGACACAACATACATGGAGAGTGACACATGGGCATTAAAAAAAAATTAAAGATGTGTTTGTAAGTTATATCTTTTATTTGACACAACCTATTTTACACATTAAAAAAATATTAATTTAAAATCTAACAAAATTCCTTAATCACTTACTGGTTAGATGGAAATATCATAAGGAACACTGACAACTTGCCTTTATGAGAATTATTTTAAGGAAAATAATTTAAAAAAAATCAAATTATGCCCTTGCCAGAATATTCTTTCTAAGCTGCATCTTAATTCTTATGGCACACACACACACACAAAAAAAAAAAACAACTGTGAGAGAGCACATAAACCCATAAATAGAAGGAAGTATTTCTAAGGGTCATACTGAGGACATAATGAATTTACTCTCACTCCTCCAATAAAAATAAAATACTTTAAACAATTTCTGCTGTAAAGGAATAGTGCTCTAAACTAACATGTACTATGTCTATCTGCCAACAATTTTCCTAGCTTTTAAAGCCATTAATTCCAAACTAGCTGTGTTCAAAACCAATCAGACAATGCAAATCTTTTAAAATTAATTACTAAAGGTCATAGGATACAAGGCCTCATTACCTTATGGCTTGCAGTGACCCTTTTACCAGTGCAAATTAAAAAAGGTAAGAATAACACTCATAAAAAAAGAAAAATCTTACTTCCCTAGAAGAAACAGAAAAGAAATGGAACAAAAACTAAAAACGTGAAAGGAGTGGTCTGCTAGAAGTAGACAAACACACATACATTCAGCCCATCCAGGGTTTCTAGCATTATTTTTTTTCAGGATTAGTACACTAATTACCACATTAAATGGTGTTTTCTCTAGGTTCTGCTTATTACTTTATGGAAAGATCCAGCCTTTGAGGATCCCAAAAGCATACACCTGCATTTGTTCCTGCCAGTCCTTGTTGTTAAAAGCTATTAAAAGATTTAACAGTTCTTAATAGAAAGATCTTGTCGAAGGGAAAAGAAACCCATAAAATCCTAATGCACTACTCCATTTAACACAATTCACTTCTGAGAATTCAAGCCTAATGTCACATTTGTGTAGAAAAAAATAATGAGATCAACAACTCCCGATGCTTCTTTAAGTCCTCTACACACAATTCAAACCCAAAAGCGCATTTTCCCCCCGAATATCTGGATGTGCTGCAGAAATGAGACAAACGCAACCTCTGGCAGAACGACTCCTTTTCCCCATCTTTGTACAATACGCGGCGTCTTCTCACCTACAGCAGCCACACGCAAACGAGATGATGTTTTTAAAAGGCATGCACAGGTTAGTTATCAAGGTAAGAGGAATGTAATGGAATTAGCATCCGGATTATTTATATAAAAAAAAATAAAGTAAGAAACTAATCCCTTGCATAATATCCATAAGATGCAACGTTACAAAACGCTTTCAGAGGTACGAGCACACCTTGAAATCCCAAACCCTCACCCAAGCCCTGTTATTGCTAGGTACTCCCCTACCGCCTCCAATTAGCTAGGAATTAATAATCTGAAAGAATAAATAAACCAATGCCCAGAAAAAGCACGCCATGGAACCGAACTGCAGGAGGGAGGGAGGAAGAAAGGAAGGGAAGGGGGGAAAAGGCGAGGGCCTGCCCTGGGCCCTGAAGGCGCCGGTGGCCGGTAGGGCCGGAGCTGGTGCTGGAGCCGGAGCGGGCGGAGGGGCTGCTCCCCCCGGCCGGGCGGAGGGGCTGCTCCCCCCGGCCGGGCGGCCGGAAAGGCGCTGCGCAGCGGTCCGCCGGACGCGATCATCGCGCCCATCTATCGATCCATCCACTCATCGATCGATCGGCGGAGTTACCGGGCGGGGGGTACAAGGGGGTGCGTGTGGCTGTGGCGGCCAGCCCGGTGCCCGTGCCCGTTTTACCGACGCCAAGGACTTTTCCTTCTCTTTATTTTTCTTCGCTGCCACCCTCTCCCGTCCACCCTTCCCCCTCCCGTTTGGATTTCCGCGTGTGTTCGGGGACACAAACGTAGTTCTGCGCACCCACGCGCGATAACGCTGGTGGGGCAAGTCCCCCGTAAGGTCACCGGCCCCAGGCACCCCGCACCGCGCCGCGCGGACGGAGGCGCGGGCACACGCGCGCACACACGCGCGCGCGCGCTCTTCCCATCGGGAAGGGGGAAAAAAAAAAACAAAAAAAAAACCAAGAACGATCCCGGGCGCGCCGCGCGGATCTCACTGCGGTAACTCCGCCAGGGACAAACTACTTTGCTAAGAGCGCGCAATGGGCTCTGCCCGAACAAAAAATAACAGGTTAAAAACAGAGACGGGGGGGGGGGGGGGGGGGAAGGACGAAGAAAAAAAAATAAAAATACAGCAAAAGGCTCCGTGAACGATAATGGACTGTATCCCCCCGGGCCCGGCAGCCCCTTGACCAAACCCGGCCCCGTCCCGAGCCGCTTGTCCCCGGGCCCCGCGTCCCACCGCTGCTGCCTGCGGAACGAAGGAGCAAAAATATGAAGCGGGTCCGAGAGCAGCCTGGTTTCGGCAGCCAGAGCCGCGCTCCGCTACCCCTGGCCCCGGCGGGGCCGCGCATTGTGCGCCGCTCTCCCTTGCTGCGGAGGCACTGAGAAGCAGAACTGGCCCGGAGAAAAAAAAAAAAAAAAGAAAAAGAAAATCAAGATTTTTTTTTTTTTTTTTTTTAAGGAGAGGCGGTTGGGGGGGAGGGGGAGAGGAAGAAAAAGTGAATTATAAAGAAACTGCGACCCCGACACGAACGGCGCGGAGCCACCAGCGATGGGGAGCAGGGGTTACCTGGGTCCTGCTGATGGCCTGACCGGTGCTCCCGGGGCTCATCGCCGGGTGACTCCTTTGTTGCGCCGCTGCCCAGGCCGGGTTCGCCGCTCCGTACTGGGCGCCCATGTCCTTGCCCATGCCCATGCCCGCCGCTGCCTGCTGGCTTCCCGGGGCGGCCGCCGCTGCCTGGGGCTGGGGCTGCGGCGGGGCGCTGGGGCTGCTGTAGTCGGGGTAGCTGCTGCCGTAGCTCCGCATCATGGGGCTGGGGGATGTGAGCAGCTGGTTCAAGGTAGGGGTGGCCCCGGACGGGTGCTGGTTCTGTCCGGAGAACCGCGCGAAGCCGCCGGCCGCCGCCGCCGCGCCGGCAGCAGCCTTGCCGAGGCCGGCCCCGCCGCCGGGGCCCATCATCATGCCGCCGCCCGGCTGCCGCGGGGAGCTCAGCACCCCGTAGCCCGCCGCGGAGCTCCCGTAGCCGCCGCCGCCTGCTCCGGCGCCCGCTGCCGCCACAGCTCCCGCGCCGCCGCCCGCGCCGCCGCCGGGGCCGCGGCCGTAGCCCGAGTAGTGGTTGTACTGGCTGTTGGGGTAACCTTCGTGGGAGTTTTGCAGGGGGTCCATGCTGTTGGGGGCCGCCGTGGGGTGCATTATCCCCATCCCGGGGCTTTGTTGTCCGCCATGTTGATCAAAGCAAGGCCCGGCGCGGCTCGCCGTAGCGCTGCTGGCAGGGGCAGGGGCAGCGTTGCCATAATAGCTATTGAACTCCGAGACACCCACCGCGGAGGGGCCGCCGCCGCCGCCGCTCCCGCCGCCGCCGAGGCCGCCGCCGCCGCTCCCAGCGCTCGGGGGCGGCTGCTGGGGCTGCTGCTGTCCGCCCAGGGGTCCCAAGCCGGGGTGATCGTAGCGGCCGCCGATGGGCTCGCCCATCTTGCCGGGCATCTCCTCCTCGTCGGCGCCTTTATTCAGCATTTGCTGCTGCTGCTGGGGGGGCTCGGCCTGAGCGCCCAAAACACTGTCTTTTCCTCCATGTTGCTGCTGCTCCATGTCTGCACTGGGCTGAGCAGCGCCGCCACCGCCACCGCCGTTGTTGTTGCTGCCGCTGCCGCCGCCGCCGCCGAGGCTGCTGTTGTTATTCTGCACGGGATGGTGCTGAGGCGGCGGCTGCTGCGGCGGCGGCGGCGGGAATTGATTTAGCTGCTGCTGTAGTGCATGGTGGTGGTGGTGCGGGTGGTGGGCATGGTGGTGGTGGGCATGGTGATGCGGGTGGTGGGCATGGTGGTGGTGGTGGTGGTGGGGCGGCGCGGCGGGGTGATCGCCTCCGACGCTCTTCAGCTTGTGGTTGGGGAGCAGCCCCGTCTCCATAGCCGAGCCCGGGTTGGAGGAGGAGGAGGAGGAGGAGGAAGGAGACGAAGAAGATGAAGATAACGCCGAGGAGCTTCCACCTTCCTTCAGAGCCGGCTCTGAGGAGAAGCAGCCGCCGCTGGCGTTGTTGTTGTTGTTACCGGCGGCAGCGGCGGGAGCCGCGTTATTGGCCATGTTCAGCGGCTCACTGTGGTGGTGGAGGAGATGGTGATCTAAATTATTCACGCTGCCGCCGGCCGGACTCCCTTCAACGACCCCCAGCGCGGGGCCAGGCCCAGGAGCGGCAGTAGCGGCGGCCCCGGCCACCCCCGGGCCCTGATCCGGGCCCAGGCCCCCCGGCAGGCTCGGGGCTTTGCCCTTGTTGTTCGCACCAGCCGGAGCCGCTGCGACCTGCGCGGCCATGATCATCGCAACATTGCGAGTCCGGAGAAATTATGCTGATACTACTAACTACTAAAACAAAAAAAAAAAAGCTAACCAAACAACAAAAGAAGAAAATATCGACCCTCACCCCCAGAAGGGGGGGGGGGGGGGAGCAGAAGTGGGGGAGGGCGCGGAGAGGGGCAGAAAAAGAAGCGGCCGGGGCAGGGACTTGACTGAGCCAAGAGTATCCCCTGCGGACCGCTCCGCACGCACCGAGATACAGAGATTTCCCTCCCCGAGTCCGTGTTTGAGATTAGAAATGGTAAGAACTCCTTACGGTCCGCGCCTGTTCCCGCTGTGTGATTTCATGTTGAAAGTTTTTTGTTCAGGTTTAAATGAAACTTTTTCCCCTTCCCCCCCCCCCTCCTTTCCCCCCCTCCTTTCCTCCCTAACCCGGATATGGGTGAACACACGTCTGGCGGAGCCGCGCTGGCCCAGCATGGCATGAGCGAGCGAGCGAGCGAGGGAGCCAGCGCCGACAGACATCGCCCCCTCCGCCCCGAGCGCGCCCGCGCACTCGCAAAACGCGGACTGGACTCCGCATGGCGCCGGCTCCCGCTCCGGGCCGCCGTCAGGAGCGCGGCGGGCTGCGGGCGGGCGGAGCGCAGCCCCGTCGCTGCCTCTGACCGGGTGCCACTCATGTGCGTGTCCAGCGGGCCCCGCCGAGGGGGCAGCCGCAGGCCCAACTCGCGCGGGGGTTGCTTGGAGGAGAAGGGTCCCGGCGGGCCTCGGCGTGTGGGGGCGAGCAGGAGCCAGGGGTGCCGCCGGCGGCGCAGCCTCGCGGGGCCGCTGCGGCGGGACAGAGGCGACGGGACGCCCGCAAACGCGGTGCCCCCGCGTCCAGGTGTGCTGGAGCAGGCGGAACTGCCAAACTTTCGGGCACCGCAAGTTGCCCCCCAGCCCCATATGTCATGGTCAGAAGGCGCCTCGTTGTGCTCCGAGGGCAGGGAAACGTTTGCCATCTCACGGGAAAATAATTTGGTGTTTTCTTTCCAGTTTGGTCCCCCCCCACCCCCCCCCCCCAAGATTTATAACCGTCTGCAAACGAAATATAAAATTTAACCTAAAATTCTGCAGCGGTAGCATCTTTGCAGTTGTCCATATTGTCCAGCTGTCTCCAAATTCTAACGGTCATTTGCACTAATGATGCCTTTATATATAGGGCTGTTTTCAATATGTTCTGTGTACTTATTTGCAGATCAACAGACTGATCAAGGAGAGTGAGGCATTTTCGGTCCCATAATTGTTTCCCCAAACAATATAATTTCCAGTACACACAAGACACTCATGAAAACGTAGTAACACAAAACCCAAAATATGTAATCCATGTAACTCTTGCTCCGAATGGAAAGCTGCTGCTGCTGACCTACATTTTTTAACCATCTTTCAGAATGGTTTGAAGGGGTTTTTAGAACTATCTTAATACAAACGATACCCTAGTAGAAGAAAAGGTAATAGTAGCACACTACCTTCAACTAATGAAAGCATATGGGAGATTAAATACTTGGCTATGAATATAGCAAACTGGAATATTAGTGAATGTTTTCAATATCGTAACGGTCTAAACCACACTGTTTTAAATGAATTTATTTTTGCGCTCTGTTAAGGCTTAAGGCAAGCACGTTTGCAAATTTCAAAATGGAAATTTAAATCTGAGATTCAGTAATAATGGTAGAAAAAAAATGCAGCCTATCACAACAGATGCTGTCATGAGTAGGTAGGCTTTTTTGAATCCACTGTGAAGGCATTTAAGAGCAGAAACTTCATGTTATAATGTTGCATTACATGCAAAGATTATTGATAAATGTATGAACAGTGTGATTTCAGTGTCTATTAATTTTATTTCTGTCTGAAAAGTCAGAAGTAGTCTGATTTCCATGATGGAGTTACTTTTGAAAAGTCTTGGTGCTTGTCAAGTACATCTTGCTAATACTGCTGTTACAATTGTATTTCTCTTTTTTTTTTTGGTACCATTTCCAAGTGCAAAAATGTTATATGGCTAGTAGAAAAACACAGAGCGGGGGAAAAAATGGTGAGTAATTCTACTGGGGGGAATCAGGTGCATACCCAAGGGTCATTACAGGCTGTAACAACAACAAATTGCAATTCTATGCAAACTGCTAGAAAGGGGTATATCATCTTTGTAGGAGAGAGAATAACAGAACTGTAAGATGAATTCATGCCAAATCATTCATCAGCTTTTGCCAAGAGAATACTAGATCTTTGTTAGTGAGCCTTTTTGACATTTTCTCCCGGATTTTCTTCCTTTCTATATTCAAATACACGCTAATTATACACATTAAGCCACATAAGTTGATTTTTTGAAGTCTTTCATATGCAAATATAAATATAGATGTCTCCTGGAGTCTATTTATTTACATGTGTACTCTAAAATAAAATATAAAATCAATTACACATTTATACTTCAAGACATTTATATTCAAGCAAAAATAAATATATCTAAAATCCGATAAGATGTGCTGATAGCGCCCCGTCTGCGGATGGAATACTTCCTGACATGCTCCGCAACTCCTTCTGGTCAGGAAAATAGCCTGCAAAGTTTAACAAAGATTTACTTTGAAATGTTTTCCCTGGGAAAGAAGAAAAGAATGAAGCTTTAAAATGAAGAGTTTATACTACTAACTCCTTTCTTCCCATTTGTTTCAGCAACTCGGCTACAAGATTGGAACTAAGAAGCTATAAAATAGAGGCCCTCAGCACAATGAAATCAGTCTGCTATAAAAGGCGACACATGCCAGTTTTTCCTCCCCAATGGCAGATGCCACACCCTAAAGCAGACAGAAGGCACTGCAGTCTGTGCAAGGGAAGCACAACACAAAGCAAAAACCATGGTTCAATTTTTTTAGATTGCAAATAATGTTGAGATTCCTTTTGCCATCTTTGCTCAGATGATGAGTGGTAGTGTTTGTTAAATTCAAATGCTCCTTTCCAAAAGCTCTCATTGTATGCATGAATTATGAATTTATTATAATATAATGTAAAAAAGCTCTAATTGCCATGCATATTAGCTGCTTCAAAATGATTGCATTGATATTTGATATCGCAAGTGCATGGTTTCAACTTCAGTTCCATTTTCATTGTTTCTTTGATTTAATTATTTTCTATAAACCAATGTTGTCCAAGCATGGTTTCTTTCTTTTGCCTTTTTCCTAGCAAATTATAAACTCTGGGACTCTGGGATCCCTTTCCAGGATAAGCAACATAATTTTCTAAACTTACTGTTGGCAATTTGTTTACTCCATTGGCTACAACATCAGAAGAGACCCTGCAGGCTGCCCGTGGGTAGCTCAATCCCATGGTAGCGATGTGGCTTTCCCAGCAGTATGGCAGCTATCCTTCCATTTGGTTGGAGCAGTGGCTCTTATACACAGAATAATGCTAAAGAGAGATACAGAAAATAAACCAATATGGTAACAGCCCCAAGGTGTTATTTTAGAGGTACTGGGAGAAATCTTTAATCTTTTTTGTGAGATGAAAATCCAGTCAGAGATTCAAGAGTCTGTTGCATCTGACCTGGGTAGCCACAAGAGTCTGAAAAATCCCTACATACAAAAAAACCCACAAACCACCCTTTTTGTTGTTGTGCTTTATGTTTAGATTCAACTGTGCAGTTTGATGAAACAGTTGTCAAATTCACTGTAATTCTCAATCTCCTCCTTTTACATTGGCATTAGATTTAATGAGGAAAAAAGAGAGAAGTATGGGGCTTTTATTAAATTATCGCTTCTTTTACTAGTTAAACATCCAATCGAAATCATTCTGCAGTCAGTGCAAATCTTTTAATTGATTTCAATAAGGCATAAATCAGATCACAGAAAAGTAAGCAGCCAGCTCAGAGCTTTAGCTTTACGCTTTAGCTTGGTGTTTGGAGCTATAGTAACAGGATTTTGTTTTTAAGAGAACCCTTATGTGGTCAACATAAAACTATAACATAGTAGTGTTTTCTTTATTACATAATATTGACACTTCAGACACAAATGTAATATGTAAACTATTATAGTAGATATCCAGCTGATAAGCCAGGCTCTGTTAGGTGTAAAGCTTGGAGGTGAGCATAATAATTTTATTTTAGCTGGTCATAACGAACTTTAAAAAAACACGTTTTACACCAACAGATCATGGCCTAAAACATGTAGGGAGTGACACATTCTACCTTTTAATTAAAATCCGTTCTTTAGCAGCCACTAATCGCTGGCAATTTAATGCATTTCTTTTGGCAATGTGTAAACAAAAGGATTTCAAAACATCACATCTCTATCTCAAGAATGCCTTACACGATTTTATTATGGAAATGCAACATCAGCAATTTTTTTCCCTTGCTGGATGTAGACCACTTGAATAGAATGTTTAAGTATCTCAATTTTACAAATGTGAATCATCCACTGAAGTCAGTAAGATCACTCACTTCCTTAAAGTTAAGCCCTGATTAAGTGCTTCTGTGGACTAAGATCTCTAGGAAAAACAGCTCTTGAGTCTGTACTTTGGTGAGATAGGAGCCCAACTGATTTTCTAAATCAAAACAAAATCTTCCATTTGGGCTGTTGATTTCTGGGCTTACCCACCAGTGAAATCCGAGCTTTTAAACTGAATGATGCTAACATTTCTGGATCCTATGTCATTGTTTGAGAATACCATTGCATTTTGGGGCAATTTAGGAAAAGGCCAGCCTTCCTTTGCATTATTAATTTATGGTCCTGTTCATTTATAAACTACAAAACTTGAAAAGATTTGGTATAAGAATAATCATAGAGTTCTCTGACAGTGTTTCTTTCCCATTCTCCTGCCTTTAACAAATCTTTTCTTCGCTGATGTGCAAGATACACGTGGGAAACCAAAAGAAATATTTGCTGTTAGCTACACGTTGGTTGGAGGTCCTTTCTATCCTCAGTTGTAGCATGCAGGGTTGAAGAAACAGTCAAACTGACAATACACAGCTTTCACACTCATAAAATAAATGAGCTCAGTACCCTAGCTGTAAAAAAGCTGGGTCTTCCAAGAAAAAATAAATAAACAAAAGCCCTAGTTTTCTTCCGTAAACCTTTTCCACAGCATAGTTACATAGTAATTTATGTATCACAATGCAAACATTACTTACAGCCCACAGTATTTATCAATTGCTGCTTCTGGGAACAGCAATTGATAAAGGTTTTGGTTGATAAATTAGTTGTAAATTAAAATAAATTGATTACTGTGGCCTCTATGTCTTCACCAAGAAAAATAATTTGTCCATAGGATATTTTTATGTACATCCAGAAATGCATGGATTTTAATAGGAGATGGCACAATTTCTTTCCTTTGCAAACTGAATTTCTTTTCCATGACTAAAGTGTATATGCAATTCTGAATATTTGCAAGGATGAAAAAAACATTATTTTGCCTAATGCACTCTATTTCTGACTCATTTCTGTAGTATTTGACCATTCACAATCTGTAATATAGCAGCTCTGAGTCTTTTAGCCAGAGCCCCACCTTTCTCCTTTGCTGTAATAGTTTGTAATTCCCTCCTTTCCCCACCTTATCTTCATTACCCACCCTTTTACAGGTACATGCATGTTCGTTCTCTTGGCAACCCCAAATTCCTGCAGCCCAACTTGCAGCTGCCTTAGCCTTCTGAAGCAGTCATACTGTATCACTCATAAGTATCATTCACATTGTTGCTTTCTCTCCAAATAAATCCTACCCTCCAATTTACAGCAAAGTTCACCCTAGTGCCAATTTCTTTCAGTCACTTTGTGTAGGGGACACAAAGTGCATGCTCTCAGGGAAGAGAGAGGAGAACTGCAAAGGCTGGAAGAGGGTAAGGGAGGAGAGAGGTGGGAGAGGCCAGATGAAATTTTCCTGAGCCTTCTGCATCCCTACCTTGTACATGCTATGCTTTCCCAAGAGGGCAGCTTCCTAGTTTGAGAGCTGTTGCTTTGATACATTTACCCTTTAAGCACTCCTGTAAACTGAGAGGTCCAGTTAGTCCCACTTTACCATCAACGAAATGAGGCACAAAGGAGGAATGCCATGACTGCATGAACATTTCTTCCAGCTGCAACACCAGCTCCAGTAGCTCCAGCAGCTCCAGGTGACTGCCATAAGCACCTGGCATGGACCTTGGGAGTGCTGATGCAACAGTCTATGCAGCTGCATGATAACCCAAGGGGGGGGAAAAAAAAACTTATTTTTATCCAGATCCTTGCACTGACTCACCCAACGGCCCAACCAGTAATACTGGCGTAACAGGAAGGGGAAAGAGAAGGGGCAGAGCGCATGAGGCCGTTACCCGCTTCTTACTGTTTGACCAAAGAGGAGGTCTGGAAGCAGGGGGGGGGGTGAATAGGACCTGCATAGCCAGCACTACTGCCAAAAGAAATGTATGTCCTAAGATTATAAACAGGTGCTCTCTTCCAAAGCCCAGATGAGCCAGTGAAAAAAAGTTACCATCCTCATTTTTTGTCAGCATCACCCCTAAAACATATTAATGCTTCTCACATCTTCTGGTGTGTGTTCCCCAGCCCTTTCCAGATTAAATGAACCAGGTTACTAGACACTACTATTTAAACTATCTGCATTAGCTCAGACCCATTTGCCCAAATAAAATTAGGATAAAGTGAGCCAACAGATCTAAGGAGACAGCGGACTCCAGCAGAGGGCCAATAAATAGCTGGTAGGTGGCAGTAACCTCTTTTGATAAGCACAAATTCTTGTATACTGAAGGAGTCCATCTGTTTAGGTCCTGAACATTGGTCATGGTGATGTAGAGACAGTTACATGTCAGTGAAGAGAGTTTATCCACTTTTCAGGTGTCTGGCTTAATGTAGTAAAAGCACCAGAGTGTGGGGTTTACCATCTTTTATTTATTTTACTATGACAGCATCATGGGGATGTATACTTGTGAAGCATATGCTGAACTGTATGTATATCTCCAGAGTCTCAGGCTTGTTTATGGCTGCTGGTCTCATACAGTGGCTCACTGGAGCTTCTAAATTGCAAAAGTGAGCTGGCAGTCCTTGCCTCAGGACTGTGAGGTGGCAACGCTCCTTGCGCAGGAGGCAGCTGAAATGTCCGCGATGTCTAGATTCACAGGGAGAGGTTAACTTGGATGAAGATGCTCCACACACCAGCTGGAGAGGGGCAGCCACAGCTTTGTTCCCAGGGAGCCAGTGCAGAAGGCTGCGCACTGGAGTGGTGCAGTAGCTGTCAGTTAAGCACATGGTCCCCATGGACTCATTGAGCTTGCTCCTGCCCTCAGCAAACAGGACATCACCACCAACTGCAATTTGGGTACTTCACTTTCACATCCTCCCTGCCACAACACTTCTGATTGTCACAGCCACAATCAAATCTTCATTATGAAGGCAAAGTATTTATCAAGAAAAACATCCCTTTGACTTGCTCCCTGCTTCAGCTAATCTAAGAGCTAAACTAACCTAAGAGAAGAGGGTTTAAACATCCTGGATGTGAACTACTTCAAAATACACAGCTCTAAAAAAAATCTCTGTGTGTTACTAGTTGAGGACCTGATCCTGGAAATGCTTACAAACATGTAGTCCTTGTTCCTCTTAAGCCATGAAACTTAGTGACAGACCTGAGCAGCTACCATGTGGTCTGTTTAAAACATGTTTCTTCTTAAATTTAAAAAGAAATTTTATTAAAATTAGAACCACCATTTTATTAATCCAAAATATAATCTAGTTATTTAACAAAGACTTAACAATGTGAGTCATCTGCATTAACAAATCCAGATGCTATAGTCAGAGGCAGCAAAGACTCAGAGACCGACAATAGGCTCGCTTTGTACGCTAATTAATCTATTCCTATTTGTTTTTCATTCCAAACAGACCACCCCTAATATTTTATCTCTCTTGGTGGATTTTGGGAAAATTGTAAGTGGACAGAAAAATGCCAGGTTCTCTCTCTTTTTAAAAAAGTAATATACAAATACTATTAAAATTTTTCTAATCTTGATTTTGTGTTTTCAGTGGACTTCATAAAAAATATCAACTGTCTGCATATCTTTTTGCCATGTTACAGCTGTTTTCTTCTCATCTACAGGACTGGACAAATGTGATTTTCATTTAACCACATTTCAATTTAAATTGCCACACCATTCTGTGTTGGGTGTAAACTTCCTATG